CCCGGTGCCCAACTTGAAGGAGGCCGGCGAAATTTTTCCCTGATAAATATCGAGGTCGAAGGAGGCCGGCGAAATTATTTTTGAGGATGTCTCGAGCGAAACGCTTGTTTTTCAGAATTTGTTGAGGATGTCTCGAGCGAGACGCTGGTTTTGCAGAGTTGGGGATGTCTCGAGCGAAACGCTTGGTTTCAGAGTTTGTTGAGGATGTCTCGAGCGACGCGCTGGTTTTGCAGAGCCGACCGCGACGCGGAAAAGCGCCCCGCGCGCAGGAATTTCGATGATGTCTCGACTAATTCGTTTGTTTTTGTACGATTTCCTGGAATTTTGGCAGGATGTCTCGAGCGAAATGCACGACCCCACCCTAGCACGACCACACCCCAGCACGACCACACCCCAGCACGACCTCACCACAGCACGACCACACCCCAGCACGACCACGCCCCAGCACGACCACGCCCCAGCACGACCACGCCCCAGCACGACCACCCCAGCACGACCACCCCCCCAGCACGACCACCCCAGCACGACCACCCCCCAGCACGACCACCCCCCAGCACGACCACAGCACGACCACACCCCAGCACGACCACTCCCCAGCACGACCACACCCCAGCACGACCACACCCCAGCACGACCACACCCAGTCGCACCCCCGTGGAATGTTTCGTGGCGTGTCTGGTTGAGTGGTTGCCTGTTCGTGGGGTGTCTCGTGGAATGTTTCACGGGGTGTCTCGTGGAATGTTTCGTGAGGTGTCTCGTGGAATGTTTCGTGAGGTGTCTCGTGGGATGTTTCGCGGGGTGTCTCGTGGGATGTTTCGTGAGATGTCGCCCAGTTGGGTATCGTGAAAACGTGACCATGCTGCGCATGTCTTTATCCCTTTCCGGGTTCGTGGGTCCATCATGTTGGAGGAGTAGTACGGGCAAACTCCCCGTCAGCTCCTGGCATGGCCCAGCAAGAGTCATCCAGACTGAGCTGCCCAGCACGGCGTGGTGCTCGCACCAGTGTGGGCCACTGAAATGCTCACCAGAACAGCTTCGACACGCCAACGAGGGAGAGACATCCGCTTGGGAGCAGAACGACCACACGATGAAGGAGGAGGTGAGCACCGAGAACCGCGGAAGGCGCACGTACGAGGACCTGACCAAGCAGCCCGCGCCAGCGGAGGAGGCTCAGGACGACGTACCTCAGACAGCACCTCCAGAGCCAGCAGGTGATGATCAACCATCAGCCTCCCTGGAGCCACCGACGGTGGAGATCGAGCGCTCCTCCGATGTGAAGGCAGATCCAATCCCCATGGACACGCAGTACTACGATCACCTCGGCGACGTACCGATCACAATCAAGAAGGCTCTAGTCAACCCTGACGCGGCGATATCAGTGGCGCAACGTACCGCGACCATTGAGGAGAAGATTCAGAAGGACCAGCAGGCTCCTCCCAAGAAGAAGAGGGGGGGAAAAGCTCAGGGCGCCACCAGTGCTCTGTTGACTAGTGCAGCTCAACGAGGACGCAAGGAGGTCACGGAGACGTCTCCCGTGAACACCTACAAGTACCAGCCGTGCATCTCAGCCAAGCGCAGGGAGTGGGGCAACATACAGAAGGCGGGTGCAGTACGGGTTCCCCCTCCCGAAGAGGCAGAACGAGTTCGACAGGCCCCCGCACTGACCACTCGGATCATGGGCTCCAGGTGGGTCCTTACGGACGAGGACGGCGACCCCAACGAGACCGACGCGAGCAAGAAGCCCTTGCTCTTCATGAATGGCAGCGACTGGAGGATGGCCAAGGCACGATGGACCGTCCAGGGGCACACCGACCCTGACCTGCTGGAGCTCGAGACCTACAGCCCAGTTGTTGGTAAGGATTCGGTCTTCCTCAGCCTGCAGATCCTGTGCACCAATAAGTGGACGCTGCAGCTCGCGGACATCACGTCGGCTTTCACAGCAGGAGACCCACTGGACAGGTCTCAGGGCAGGCTTTTTGTGGAGCTACCACGGACGGGTATACCAGACGTGGAAACGGGTTCGTGGTGGAGTTACCCAAGGCAGTCTATGGACCCGGAGACGCCCCCGTACAATGGCTGGCGTGTTTCACAAGTTATGCCAAAGAGATCGGTTTTCAGTGCTCCATCTTTGACGGCTGCGCATTCTACCTCAGGGACGATGAGGGCTTGCGCGGCGTCATGGGGCTTACGGTGGACGGCGTCGCGGGCGGTGGCAACCAGAAGTTCGATGAGGCCTGCAAGAAGTTGCGTCAGAAGTTCCCCTTTGGGGCCTGGCGGCTCGAGAAGGGGAAGTACACGGGCGAGGAGCTCGACCAGAACGACGACACCACGGAGATCACGATATCTCAATGCCAGAGCTCCGCCAATATTCAACTGATCGACATCGCCACAGAGAGGCGTAAGACGCCGCAGTCACCAGTGACGCCAGCAGAGCTGCATCAGGCAGGGAGCCTATGCGGCTCCATCTCGTTCCTGGCGCGGGAGAGTCGTCCCGATCTCTCTGGTCCTGTCTCTCTCTTGCATGGCAAAATGCCGAATCTCACCGTGGACGACTTGCTGGAGGCAAATCGCATCGGCCGCATGACCAAGGAGTTCTGCGACGTAGTGCTCAAGGTACGACACATCCCTTTTCACGAGCTGGCCTTCGCCGCCGTAAATGACGCTGCCTGGGCCAATGCACGAGATGGAGCTTCACAAGCAGGATGCATCGTGTTCGCTACGCAGCGTAAGATCTTGAAGGGCGAAGCGGCCACCATCTCCATCCAATCCTGGAAGAGTCACAAGTTGAAGAGGAAATGTGCTCACCAGTTTGGTGCGGAGACGTTGGCCATCTCGGAGGGTATGGCTATGGCGGAGTTCGTCAGGACCATGCTGCTGGAGATCGTCGACTCCGAGTTCGATCTGATGCGTTCCTACCTACTCGCTGGTCGCTTTCCCGTCATCAGTGTGACCGACTCCAGGGGTGGGTACGATCACGTTACTAACCCCAAGGCGGGACTGGCGGAGGACAAGAGGGCAGCGATCGACGTGGCCATCGTGCGCTCAGCGATGCAGCGACCTCAGGTTCATCTGCGATGGATCGAAGGTACCAGTCAGCTGACCGACCCGCTCACCAAGCGCAAGGGCGAGAGTACGCTACTTCGACACGCCCTGGAGCTGGGCGAGTACGGCATCACTGCGGACAGCATCGTGCTACGCCGACGGGAACAAGAACGACAGATGAGGAAGAAGAAGGGCGACCCTACCTATGCCTGCTCGGTGGAGTGTTGTTTTTCAGGACTGGACCTGTACGAGATGGACTGCACGGGCAGCCTCAAGCACGACTACGAGGAGGACGACCTCAACTACGAGCCCGAGGCCTATCGGTGGATCCGAGAGGCCCAGGAGGTCTACCAGGCCCAGACCACCGACAGGGCAGTGCACGTGCATGGAGATTCGAGGGCTTCATCGGGTTCTAAACAGTGGATTACGACCAGTGTGAATCTGAAAGCGCAGGGGGCGCTTTCAAGTGCTATGTGTGCTTAACTAAGAACCCGAGGCCCCTTTTCCTTCACCGTTTGGGTTCAAGGGGAAGGGGGTCCGTCGACCCCCTTTCCAGGAGTGCAGCTTGTCATGTACTGAAAAGGTGTTTGCTATCTTTACCTCTCGTTCCGAGTATTTCAGATTGTTTCAAATATCTTGGCGACCTTCGATGTCTTGGGAACCATCCACACATCTGGTTTTAATGCACCCGTTTAAATTCATCCGGTTTTAATTTGTCTGGTTTAAATTCAGCCGGTGTTAATTTCCGTTTAAATTCATTTGGTTTTATTTCGTCTGGTTTATATTCATTTGGTTTTCATTCGTCCGGTTTACATTCATTTGGTTTTATCCCGTCCAGTTTTAATTAATCCGGTTTTCATCCCCCCAGCTTCCACACGAATCACGCAAAACAGAGCGGACGAAACCGAAGCGGACGAAATAAAGGCGGACGAAACAAAAGCGAACGAAACAAAAGCGGACGAACAAAAAGCGGACGAAACAAAAGCGGACGAAACAACAGCGGATGACACAACAGCGGATGAAACAACAGCGGATGAAGCAAAAGCAGATGAAACAAAAGCGGACGAAGCAAAAACGGATGAAACAAAATTCCACCAGGCTCAAAGGGGTGGGTTCAGGGGAGAGAGGGAACGTTAAGGGGTTCGAGGTCTGGGGTTTTCGGGCGAGCCTTCAGGGTCCGAAAAGGGCCCAATCGTCAGTCTCAGGAGGTTTTCCAGCCTCGGGGTGCTCTCCAGCATGCTGGAAAGCACCCCGAGGCTGGAAACAAAGGGGCTGAGGGCTCCTAAAGCGGCCCTTTCGGGCCCAGAAGGGCCAGAGGGGAGCCTTCGGGGTCCGAAAAGGGCCCAATCGTCAGTCTCAGCAGGTCCTCCAGCCTCGGGGTGCTCTCCAGCATGCTGGAGGTTTTCCAGCCGCAGCTGCTCCTCGCCAAGAGCGTTCCCGGGGTGCCTGGGACGTTCCGGGCATCCGCCGGAGGCCGGAGGCATGGTCTGAAACCCACCATGCACGGGGATATGCTCAGGGGGGGGGTGCATCTACCTTTGAAGTATTTTGGCCTCTGGGGACCGCCCTGAAAGGCTCCGTGGCTTCTTGGAACCGTCTTGGAGCAGTCGTGGGGCCTCCTGGAATATGCTGGGAGCGCTCTTGAGACATCTTGCGCTTTCTGGAGCCATCCTGAAGGCAAGGCAATCTAATCTTGCGCTCACTAAGGCCCTCTTGGAGCCGTCTTGGGCCAAAAAGGCCCTCTGGCACGTCGCGGCCCATCCCCTCCAGACCCAAGGGAGGGGTAGGGGGATGTTTCAGGACACCCTCCCCGCCCGCAAGCTGACTCGCTCACTCCCACCCGCCCTCCCAACACAGCATAAGTAGCACCCGGGCCTCAGCATGTTCAGCGGTCGTCTTTGGATGGGCAGCTAACGGGAACCAAAACAGATCCCATGTGCGCAATCCGTGGCTATTCTGGCTTAAGCCGCTGTGGCTCGAGCAGCACTGCTCGAGCAACGGGCCTGCGGTACTATCCGAGCTCAGGTGGCACTAGCGAGCGGGGCCATGGTCGGAAAGATGGGTTCTCCCATCACCACTCTGATGCTCCGCAATGTGCCCAGAAGGTACACCCAGGAGCAGCTCCTGGGGGAGATCGAGGCCGTGATAGGCAGCACGGCCGATTTCAATTTCTTGCACATGCCCTGGGATTTGCGTAACAGTTGCAACGTCGGCTATGCATTCCTGAACTGCTGCGACGCGGAGGGGGCAAAACGTTGTCGCGAGGTCCTCGACGGGTATCATTTCTGCATGTCAGCGAAGCAGAAGCAGTGCAACGTGTTCGACGCCCACATACAGGGACTGGAGAGCAACCTGATCCACCTTCTCTCGACGTCTGTGGGCGTGCTCGCCACGGGGTGCCAGCCCGTCAAGAGTATGCCAGTCATCATCTGGCAGGGGCGGAGGGTCAGGTTTCCCCAGGTCGTCGCCGCACTGCAGCGCACCGACGCGCCCCCGGAGCAAAGGCTGCGGGGCCAGCCTTGCGGCAGCGCGGGCCCGCTCTTCTGGTCCGATACGGCCCTGCTGCAGGAGCTCGCTCCCGGCCTGGAGGCCATGACTACTCGCAGGCCGTTCGCGTCCACCGAGGGCACGACGATGCCCGGGCCGCCCGAGCCGGCGCCGGGGAAGAACGCCGCGGAGGAGGAGTATGAGTCCGCCCGCAGCATGGGCGCAGGGCCGTACGCGTCCGCCGAGGGCACGACGATGCCCAGGTTCGTGTCCGAACCGGCGCGGTACGCGTCCGCCGGGAGCACGGCGACGCCCGGGTTCGTGTCCGAAGCGGCGCGGTACGCGTCCGCCGGGAGCACGGCGACGCCCGGGTTCGTGTCCGAAGCAGCGCGGTACGCGTCCGCTGGGAGCACGACGACGCCCGGGTTCGTGTCCGAAGCAGCGCGGTACGCGTCCGCTGGGAGCTCGACGACGCCCGGGTTCGTGTCCGAAGCAGCGCGGTACGCGTCCGCTGGGAGCTCGACGACGCCCGGGTTCGTGTCCGAAGCTTCCACGCAGGTTTTCTTGTCTCTCGCCAGCCTCCCGGGGGGGCGCGGCAGCAGCGGCAGTCGTGCCTGGGCGGGAAGCGTCGGCGAGGAGCACAGCTCCCCCGAGCTGCAAATAGCCGGCAAGGACGACGTCAGCCTCCTGCTTGCAGAGGCGGCGCTCGTCCAGCGCATCGAGGCCGCCATGGCGGAGCGGCGCCTCGCGCTGCCTCGCGCGTCTCCGCCCGAGGCCGCCCTGCTGGAGAGGCGCCTCCCGCTGCCAGATCGTCGCGCCGCCGTGGGATGCCCCCCCTCCTGGCAGCTCCCGACAGGCTTGCGGCTCCCGCCCGGCCTCGACCTCGGCGCCCCCGCGAGGCCTGCGGCGCAGCCGGCGGCGCCCGCGGGCCCAGAGGCCGCCGGGGATCATCGAATACCAAATCGGGGCTCGTAAAACGACACGAAGATCGGGACAAAATCGGATCGGGATAGCTCGGAATCTCTGAGAACCGGCTGGTTTGGAGGATGTAGTGGGCGCCGCGGCCGCCCCAGAGCGTTCCGGAACGCTCTGAGAGCGCTCCGGAACGCTATGGAGCGATTTATCCCGATCCTAGCCCTGTTTTAGCTCAATGGGTCAATGCAAACGGGGGTCGGTCGGGGCGCCGGGTGTTGCACGGTCCTGCGGGGCCAGGGGTGCACTGACCCGAGCGTGGGTGCAGGCCCCTGCAGGATCCTGCAAGATTTTCCAGGATCCTTCGGGCCGGGCGAAAGGGGGGGATTGGGAAAGGGGGGGTTAAGAAATTTGCTGCATACAGCTGGTTTCGGCCTCACCGAGGGGCCCATTCCTCGATACATAGCCGCCTCCGGCGCCAGGAGGCGCCGGGAAAATCAGCTACGTGAGCTGATTCTCAACCCCCCCCTTTGCTATCCCTCCCTTTCGCCCGACCCGAATCCTGCAAAGCCTGACTGACCCGGGTCTGGATTGACCGGGGTCAGTAGATCCCCGAAGAAAAAGTGACACAATCATAATTCTTCGACGGTCCGCGCGGATCTCTTGGATCCGCGCGGTGACCTCCTGGCGGCGCCTCCGGCGCCGCCGCCCCGGGCGCTCTCCGCGCGCCGGAGAGGGGGTTCTGGCGCGGCTCCACCAGATTTGCGCGGACCGTCGAAAGTTTATGTTTATACAGTTTTCCCCCCGGAAAGGGCGCAGGCCCAGGGTTCTCTGTTCTCCTTTACTTGTTTACCCCCAGCACCGACTGTAGAGGGCCGGCGGAATGATTTGCGATAAATGACGAGATGTATTTTTGTTATTTTCCCGGAAAGGGTGTCGGCCCAGGGTTTTCTTTTAGTATTGTTCCCCCCCAGGTTCGACGGGAAGCGGGCCAGCGAAATGATTTGCGATAAATATCAAGGTGAAATTCCAGTCGGCGTGGAACAAGTGCGTTTCGCGCGAGCCCGCTCGAGGATAATGCGCCCCCCATGTCGGATCCTCGTTGCCCAACGGAGTCCGCAGACCCTCGCTTTCCTTCGTAAAAAAGAAGGTGCGGAGCGTTTTGCGTTGAATCCCCATGAAATAACGAGGCATGGAGACCCTGAAATCTTCGACGGGCCGATTTAATAGTATGGAAGAGTTGATTTTTCGCGTGCCCGCTCAAGGATGGCGCGTCCCGCGCGCAGGAATTTTGAGTATGTCTCGAGCCCCGCGCTTGTTTTGCAGAAGGAAGGTTGGCTTTTCGTAGAAAGGGCCCGCGCACAGGGTTCTCTTTCAGTTTTGCTTCCACCCGGCTTCGGCCGGCGAAATTAGTTACGATGAATAACAAAGGAAAGTCCCATTCGGCGTGGGAGAATTGAGAATGTCCCTAGCGAAACGTGGATTTTATACACATGAGTTGGTGATGTCTCAGGCGAAACGCTGGTTTTGCAGAGTTGGGGGATGTCTCGAGCGGGGGCTTCGTCGGGGCCAGAATTCAGAGGATGTCTCATGGGAAATTGGTATCTAACATGGCTGTCCCTAGCTGGCGCCCTAGACGACTGCATGTTAGACATCTTCCCTGGGTGAGCTGGAACCAGGTGTTTTCACATGTCCAGGCCACCCAGGGGGGGCATCTAACATGGTGGTGGTTCCGAGCTGGAACCACGTGTTTTCACATGTCCAGGCCACCCAGGAGGTATCTAACATGGTGGTCCCGAGCTGGAGCCTCGTGTTTTTACATGTCCACGCCACCCAGGAGGGTATCTAACATGGTGGTCCTGCGCTGGAACCGCGTGTTTTCACGTGTCCAGGCCACCCATGGGGGTATCTAGCACGGTGGTCCTGTGCTGGAGCCGCGTGTTTTTGCATGTCCAGGCCGCCCATGGGGGTATCGAACATGGCGTCGGGCCCGACGCCGAATTATCAGGAAACGCACGGAGTGGCCGAAACGCGCCACCCGAACACATATCCCAGTACAGAAGAGTGATGGTGTTCCCAAGCCTCCTGCGGTGTTGGGCACTCGTTTTGGATAGAGCAGCGTGGTCTCCGCCTCCTCCTCCTCCTCCTCCTCCTCCTCCTCCTCCTCCTCCTCCTCTCGGGGGAGCGTAAGACCCGGGTTTGCCGGGACTCGGGTTCGCCATCGTTTTTTGACGACCGCGCCTCGGATTCTGACGAGGAGGAGTTTCGTGGGATGTCTGCAGCGGGAGGCCTCGTCAAAATGCAGGCTCGGCCTCGTCATTTTTTTGACGACCTCGTCGGGGATTTCCGAGTCCCCCGTACCCGGGTCTTACGTCTCCCCGATCCTCCTCCTCCTCTTCTCCTGTCCTCCTTCTCTCCTGTTTCCTGTGTTCCCTTCTCCTCTTCTCTCGTGCCGTCTGAGATCTGCGCAGCTGTCGCCACTTTCGTGGGCTCCTGGGAGGCCCAGCGGAGGTGGGTCCCACGCGGACCACCTCGGGACCTTGCCGCCCTTTGGGGGGCGTGCGATCTGCGCAATTGTCGCCACTTTCGCGGGCTCCTGGGAGGCCCAGCGGAGGCACGTCCCACGCGGACCAGCTCGAGACCTCGCCGCCCCCTGGGGGGCGTGCGATCTGCGCAAGTGTCGCCACTTTCGTGGGCTCCTGGGAGGCCCAGCGGAGGTGGGTCCTACGCGGACCACCTCGGGACCTCGGCGCTCCTTGGGGGTGCCTACGATCTGCGCAATTGTCGCCACTTTCGTCGGCTCCTGGGAGGCCCAGGGGAGGTACGCCCCGCGCGGACCACCACGGGACCTCGCCGCCCCCAAGGGGGTTTGCGATCTGCGCAATTGTCGTTTTGTTCGTTAGCTCCTGAGAGGCCCAGCGGAAGTATGTCCCACGCGGACTACTTCGGGACATCGCCGCTCCTTGGGGGGCTTGCGATCTGTACAACTGTCGCCACTTTCGTGGTCTCCTGGGAGGCCCAGCGGAGGTACGTCATACGCGGACCACCTCGGGACCTCGCCGGCCCGTGGGGGGCTTGCGATCTGCGCAATTGTCGCCACTTTCGTCGGTTCCTGGGAGGCCCAGCGGAGGTACGTCCCACGCGGACCACCTCGGGACCTCGCCGCCCCCTGGGGGGCTTGCGATCTGCGCAATTGTCGCCACCTCCGTGGGCTCCTGGGAGGCCCAGCGGAGGTATGTCATACGCGGACCACCTTGGGACATCGCCGCCCCTTGGGGGGCTTGCGATCTGCGCAAGTGTCGTTTTTGTTCGTTGGCTCCTGGGAGGCCCAGCGGAGGTTGGTCCTACGCGGACCACCTCGGGACCTCGCCGCCCCCTGGGGGGCTTGCGATCTGCGCAATTGTCGCCACGTTCGTGGGCTCCTGGGAGGCCCAGCGGAGGTTGGTCCTACGCAGACCACCTCGGGACCTCGCCGCCCCTTGGGGTGCCTACGATCTGCGCAAGTGTCGCCATTGTCGCGGGCTCCTGGGAGGCCCAGCGGAGGTGCGTCATACGCGGACCACCTCGGGACATCGCCGCCCTTTGGGGGGCTTGCGATCTGCGCAATTGTCGCCACTTTCGTGGGCTCCTGGGAGGCCCAGCGGAGGTACGTCATACGCGGACCACCTCGGGACCTCGCCGCCCCTTGGGGGGCTTGCGATCTTCGCTATTGTCGCCACGTTCGTGGGCTCCTGGGAGGCCCAGCGGAGGTACGTCATACGCGGACCACCTCGGGACCTCGCCGCCCCGGGGGCTTGCGATCTGCGCAACTGTCGCCACAACGTGCGATGCCCCGCTCAGCGCAGCGCGTTGCTGAGTTTAACTGATGTTCTGTTTCAGCCCTCGCCGGCGCGCCCTTGTGTGTTCACTTGTTGGGCGCGTTTCTTTCAACGCCATGTCTTTCCATTCTGTATAGTTGCTGTTCCTCTTCTTGCTGCGCTCTTCTGAAATCACTGCTGGGTGCTCTTCTTGCGCACTGCGGGTCCTTCAGAATGCCAGTCAACCGTGAGTGGTAAAGGGTTGGGTACGCCACAGGGTAATTACGTGTCAAGGCCACCTAGGGGGTATCTAACATGGGCCTCTTGGGGCCTTCCTGGGGGCCTGGGACGGACGTCTAAGATGATGATGTGTTGCGGATGTTTCGAGCGAACCATTTGTTTTCACGTGTCCAGTTTGCCCAGGCGGATGTCTAGCATGCGGTGGCACGTCCATTGGCACGTTCCGTAGCGCGTCCACTTGGCACGTCCCGCGGTGCCTCCCCGTGGCACGTCCCCTGGCACGCCGCCTGGCGCGTCCCTTGGGACGTTCCGCGGCGCGTCCTCCTGGCATGCCCCCCCTGTCAATTAGCGTTGGGGCAGCTACTATGTGCTGAGGCAGCTCGAGCTTAAGATCCAGATCAGTTCGGTCAGGACTCGGATGCAAAGGAGGACTCGATCCACAACACCATCGAGCACAGTCGCGGCATGGCACATCGCAGTTCAGCACGGCGCGGCACAGCACAGCCTTCGGCACGGTACATCAAGATCGATACACTCAGCATTGCAACTTGGCATGTTCCTTGTCACGTTTCGTGGCGCGTCCCGTGGCGAGTCCCCCTGGCACGTCGCGCGGCGCGTCCCCTGGCACGTCCCGTGGCACGTCCATTGGCACGTTCCGTAGCGCTTCCCTCGCGCGTCCCTTGGGACGTTCCGCGGCGCGTCCTCCTAGCATGTCCCCGTGTCGATTAGCTCTGGGGCAGCTACTACGTGCTGAGGCAGCTCGAGCGTAAGATCCAGATCAGTTCGGTCAGGACTCGGATGCAAAGGAGGACTCGATCCACAACGCTATAGATCACTATGGCGGTATGGCACATCGCACTTCAGCACGGCGCAGCACAACACAGCCTTCGGCACGGTACAACAAGATCGATACATTCAGTGGGATTTGCCCGTCGCCCAATCAGGTGTCTTTGAAACGTTGCCATGCCTCACATTTCTATGTTTTCC